GTACACTTCAGAAGCTTTAGATCCCCAATGTCATAGTTGGTCAATGTCATTTGCTATCTCCCATGCCCTCTTCAATTCATTCCCCTCACGACTAGCCGTGGCTTCAAAAATGTTTTGTACGCTTATGCCTCTGTATGGTAATGGTATCAGCTCTTAGATACTCATGTACATTTCATAACTGAGTTTCCGTGTCTCTTCATGTCTGTACGATTTTCGAAGAACACGATCTCACGGTCGTTCTCTTCCTCCGCTGTCTTATACACCCCATCCCCGTGTCTTCCCTCTGTCTAAATCTCTTCAAGACATGCTCCCGTGTGAGGTTTTCTCTCTCTATGAGTATTGATCTAAACCCTCCTCAATTTTACAATAGTTTCGTATCTGGATTAAAGGGCGGTAATACACCTCCCCAATGGTCGCGGGGGCACCGGGCTCGAGGTGTGGCTTCAGGTCCCAGGATCACCCACGAATGCCTTGGAACCTCTTTGAAGAAGGGGTCGTAGGGCTGGGTTCCAGAAAAACCTCTCTGACAAGGGGCGTCCTTGGGGCCAACCTTGGGGCTTAATTCCGTATGTGACCCGGAGCCCCAGGGGGGCTGGGGGGGGGGGAGGGGAGTGGGAAGGGGGGGGGGGCGGAGGGAAGCGGCCTACAGAAAGGCCCAGAGGGAGAAACCTGCAAGTGGATGGAGGGACAGGTGGCGACTCATGTGACTGATGCAGGGTTTGTGTAGCGACTGATGCAGGGTTTGTGTAGCGGCTGGTGGGAAGGTGGGCTGGGACACACCTTAAATGCCAGTCAAGGAATGTGGGTTCAATTTTAGAGGCAACCCAGAGGGGAGGCAGCTTGTGTAGTGTTCGCGGCCCAAGCTCTGGAATCGGATGGGGCCTGCGTTCAAGCCCCGCCTTGCCATTTGCTAGTTCTGTGTCCTTGGGTGAGTCATTGGCCCTTTCTAAGCCTCGCTTCACTCGTCTGTGTAAGAACGACATACTCAGGTGCACTGCCATTCCGTTGGTCCCTTCAGCAGCGAGGGGACGGCTGGGGGGTTAAGCCCTGGCTCCTCTATGCTTCGTTCCAGAGTGGGCCCATCGGCCAGAACTGGCTGCAGGCCCCACCTTGCCGCCAGAGGCTGTGGGATGTGGGGAAGCAGCCATCAATCTGTGTCTGCCACCGGGGTTACCAACAAGGATATGGAGGGGAGGAGCCCCCGGATTTGGGCAGAGGACCTAGTGCAGTACCTGCCACGCACGGGTCTAACCAGAGGGGTTCAGGGAGCATCACCACCAGCAGGTCCCGAACCCCCCAGGCCCTGCTCACCGGGCTGGTTGGGGGTGAGCGGGTGGGTTCCAAGGGCACCCTGACCCCTTGGGTTTTATCTCAGGCTCTTTGCTGGAAGCCCTTTCTGAGGCATCTACAGGAATTTGAGGGGTGTCTGGGTACAGCCTCCCTCTAGTGACGGCTCCCCACCCGGGCACAGGCACCAGCACGCCTGCTGTAGACACGGGATCCAGCACAGCGAGGGACCGTTCCCCTCTTTTCCCCAGGGAGTTGGCCAGCGTCTCTGACAGTGGAGGACTCGCCTCCTCCCCACAGGGTTCCGCTTCTCCAGGGCACAGTGAGGTGCAGGAGGAGAACTATCCCGGAGGAGCCGCAGCCCCAAGGCCCAGACTGTCCCACCCCAAGGTTATCTCATCCTCCCAACAGAGCTGCACCCGCACCACCCCCACCCGCACCACCCCCAGTGTGGTCCCGGGCTGCTTGCTAAGTAAGAGGGAGGGACAAGCTGCTTTCTAAACTGCCTGCCCTCTTTATCTCAGATGTCTTCTCCACTCGCCAAAACCCTAGAGCGATTCAGGTCTGGACACTGCGCCCTAGGCCCAGCCCGGGCGCCGAGGGTCAGGCCCCTGGGTCCCAGGCTGGAGTGTTCAGCCACGTTGCCAACAGGAACAGAAAAGACAGAGGCCACTGAAAACTCTAAGACAGTGGTTCTCAACCTTCCTAATGCCGCGACCCTTTAATACAGTTCCTCAAGTTGTGGTGACCCCCAATTTCATTGTTACAAATTGAACATAATTAAAGCATAGTGATTAATCACAAAAACAATATGTAATTATATATGTGTTTTCCGATGGTCTTAGGCCCCCAAAAGGGTTTCGATCCACAGGTTGAGAACCGCTGCTCTAAGAGAACTCAGGCAACTTTTGTAAGAGACTTTCTAGTTGTCACTTCTCCCAGTCTCCTTTCTGATGGGAGAATACGTCTGTCGGGATTTGTGTCTGAGTTGAAGGTGACTCTGGATTTGCTAAGTGTGGCAGGAAAATGTGCTCATTGAGCAAACTTGGAGGAAGAAGGGGAGCATGTGGAGAGGATCACAGGTGTCACAGATCCTGTAGAGCCACGTGGTTCCCCCTTCCGCTCCCCAGGACTGTGATTTGCATTATTAGTGTGAGGGTCTAATATCTGTCTCCCGATTAGACGGAACGAGCCACGGGCAGGAGCAGGTCTGCTTTTGCTCACTTCAGAAATACGGATAGTGGGGTTAGGGCACGAGTGAATGACACAGTGACCCAGACTGGCCATCGCTCAGGGCTGTTGTGCTGAAGCCCAATTCCTGCCAAGTTGGTGTAGGAAGGGGACCCCAAACGTCCACTTTGGGGCAGTAGAGGGTGCTGATGGCAAACAGCAAGGGAAGGAGGCAGCAGTTAGCCCCCCAGTCAGCACTGTGCAGCCAGCATTCCTAATGAGGATGCTAATCTAATTCACAAAGACTGGATGGTGCCTGCTGTCCTCTCCACTTCGAAGGTTCTACTCGGTGTCTTGCTGCATCTCAGGCTCTGCCGGACCATTCCGGGCGACAAAGGTGCTTGAGAGAGGCCCCTTCTCTCTCCCAAGGACTCCATCCTCATTGTCAAGTCTCCGGGAGTAATTTCTTCTGATTTGCTCCGCTATAGAAAACTCACAGAAGCCAGGGAAGGAAGGGACAGGGCGGGCTGAAACCAACAACAACCCATTTATTCTGGGTGACAGTTGAGATGCAAATAAACGGTTGTAATGCAAATCACACCCAAAAGAAATCTCAAGGCAAAGGCCCCAGGAGTCAGCCTTGGTGTGGGAGCCCATCTCTGAGTTTCAAATTAAAGGCTGCGGCAGCTTCTTCCCGTGCCTGGCTGCTGGGCGGTCTCCTGTCCTTCCTCGGGCTCAGGGAAGCCACGGGAAGTATGCAGCACACTTGTTCGCGTTGATTCCATCCCGTCCGCATCCACCTCCTGCCCCCAACATGATCTGTGCATTTTCTCCACTTAGATAACTTTTCCTCTCCTGATCTTGCCTGTGCCTTCTCCCCTCTCCCCCCAGTCCTGTCTACAGCTGAGCCGGCCCCAGGCTGTCCTGTTTGCCCATCTGCACCAGTGGGGTTATTGGGATGGCTGGAATTTTCGGTTCAGTTGTTCTCAAACCTTCTTCTCCTTCGAAGCAAGTGGATTATCTGTGTTCTGCATCCTGCCTCTGAAGGGTGGGGAGGGAGGGGAGGGAGACAGGGAGTGTGGGGGGCCATCCATGCCTCCGGCTGCTTTACAAATTCCAGCAACTGGGTGTGCTTTTAAGCCACTTTGCATTATGCACGACCCTTCCCAGTGGACTCGGGTAGCTAAAACCGGGCAGTTCCTCTCACCTGCCTCC